GAAGATGAAAGTGTGGGTTATAGGAGAGTAGAGGCAACAAAGAGGAGGTTGGAGTGCTGGAGGAAATTGTCTAGGGAAAATTGAAGGAATTAGACCTAACTAGCACAGCTGGAGGACAGGCGGGACGGAGGGAATTTTGGACTCCCTCCCACATGGCTCTGGCCCAAAGTCTCAACCCTGTCTCCCAGTGGGTCTGGCGTTAGGTGAAGCCGACAAGGTTCGACGAGAGGAAAATTGGCGACTGCCTCGCCAGGGGGAGGAGGCAGGGCGTGATGTTTTAGTTTTTCTTGCTTGATCCTCCAAAGGTCTGCCTGGCGATCATCTTCATGGCCTGGTTATAGTGAGATAAACGTATTGTCTTGAAAGGGGGAATCAGGTTTTTGTTATTGTTTTTCAGGCTAGGTGGTGCAAGGTACCACCCAGTATAAAGGGTACAGCAGTTGTTATCCATCCATCCATCCATTTAGTGAATGGAATCGGGAGCATTGTATAAATTTGATTGTTGTGGGTGAGGTTTTTGTTGTTCACCCTACGGATATTCAACGCGAAAAATGGGATGAGCAACTGTCCAGCATGGGCGTTCTTTGGGGACTTTGCAGTTTGTTTGCGTGGTGGGCTACCCAAAACCGTTCACCTCTACACTCGATCATGCCACGAGTGTCGGCGGCGCAAGAAACCCCTGACGTAACTATTAGGACTTCTGCATCCGATTACTCCCCCATCCACACCGTTGCAGCAGATCGGAATGGATTTACTTCGCCCTTTCCCGCCGTCAACGATGGGTAACCGCTGGATAATCGTCGCCACAGATTATCTCACACGGTACGCCGAGACAAAAGCCCTTTCATCAAGTACGGCTGTTTAAGTCACCAAGTTTTTCGAGTCCATTGTCCTCCAGCACGGCGGCCCCGAAGTCCTCATTACAGACCGTGGATCCTCGTTCATGGCCCAGCTGACGCAAGAGATCCTTCGTCTCAGTGGAGCCGGCCACTGTCGAATTACTGCGTACCATCCGCAGACAAATGGACTAACAGAACGGCTAAACAAAACCATCGCCGACATGACCTTCATGTATGTCGACGTAGAGCACAAGACTTGAGCAGAGGTGTTACCCTACATCACATTTGCTTACAACACGGCGGTGCAAGAGACCACAGGAGTAACCCCGTTCCAGCTGATTCATGATCAGCTGGAACGGGGCATGACCGAATGGAGCGATCGCAGCGCTCCATTCGGTCATGCTCGGGGCCAGTACTGTACCCAGTGGCTACACATAATGTTCAATGGTCAAGGAACATTACGGTTTGTTTGATTTTAGTGTAGGGTGTATAGGTATTTTGCAAAGCGAGAAACGTGCTGCGCCCGAAACTATGCCTGTAAGGTCGCTTTCTCTCGTGAAAGTTGGATCCAGCCTGGTGCACGTAACCGCTTCTCTGCCAATACGGAGTTTACGGCACAAGGAAAAGGAATGCGACACTCTGGCTCTGCAAGCAGAGCCTATGCAGTTACTCTAAAATGTGCTTCTCCTCATCCGATGGTGCCCTCTGGTGTCTGGCACAGTCCTCGTCGGATGGCGACCTCTAGTGTCAGCAATAGTTCCGAGGTATTCAATCTTTAATTGAATCCCTCGGATTCAATCAATCAGGATGGACGACTACCTAGGATGCTTAGAGCCTATGGATTAAGTTATGGCCTTAAAAAGACTATTGCAAAAGTGGTTTAGTGCCCTTTTAACTTGCACCTTTACACTGTTATAAATGTGGAGATATGGTTTTCAAGTTATGAAACAAATGCCAATAACAAAGTTTAGGAAACGCGGGCAGGTTTGTTCAAAGCCGTGCCTATGGCTATGTGTCGTGTAACCTTGAATATAGCACAAAATATTAAATTAAAGCTATACCGGACACTACTTTAATATTTTGGGAGTTACCACGGGCATAGGGATAGGTACTGCATTCATCACGAGCAAAAGGGTAGCCCAGTTGATGTGTATTTCATATTCGTTGTCCATTTGGGGGGGGGGGGGGGGGGGGGGGGGGGGGCGGGGGCTGGGACACCCAGTGGTTAGATTATGCCTGAGGTTTCCCTCGTGGCATAACTTGTACAGAACACTTAAGGGGAGACACTCCCTTGGAGGGTCTACTTTTTAAGTATTTGTGCCAGGTCAATGAAATTTTTAGGGTATGTTAAACGTCAAAACTTAGGAGGCTACACCGACGTTCAACCCAAAAGGTTTATTTTTTGACAAGTTACAGCCTTATTCGTTGAAAAAAATGTACATGTAGCAGTACCAAAGGAAAAAAACGATCGTTTCAAAATATGAATAAAAAGGCACAATTTCTTTGTTGGGATATAACGCTGAATGACTAAACTAATCGGTAGTAGACTTGAAATAGTTTTTAAGGCCATATTTCACGTAAACATTAACTTTCAATAATGGTATGAATTTTTAATTTTTTTCTTGTTTCACAAACGTCAACATTTTTGTGTGAAGAAATAACAATTTGCAAAAGGTAAGCGCATAGCCGAGTTCTCCAGTAAATTTCATGCCAAAAATGAAAGCCGCTTACAACTCCCTGTAACACCGAATTAGAGCGCAGCTCTTGAGGAGGAGGAGGGAAGGGCACTGGGGGGGGGGGGGTTAAACTAACCAGTGGGGGGTCACGTGACCTTGGGGGTCACGTGACCCCCAGTGCCGATGATGTCATCACTGACGTCACTGATGACGTCATCACTGACGATGACGATGCGGGTACCGATGACGTCATTAGTGACGTCACTGATGACTTCACCAGTGATGATGACGATGACGATGCGAATGTCGGTGACGTCATCAGTGACGTCGCTGATGACGTCATCAGTGATGATGACGTCATCAGCGAGTGATGAGTGATGATGACGATGCGGATGCCGGTGACGACATCAGTGACGTCACTGATGATGTCATCAGTGATGATGACGATGACGATGCGGATGTCGGTAACGTCATCAGTGATGATGACGATGCGGATGCCGGTGACGTCATCAATGATGATGACGATGTGGATGCCGGTGACGTCATCAGTGACGATGACGATGTGGATGCCGGGTGACGTCATCAGTGATGATGACGATGACGATGCGGATGCCGGTGACGTCATCAGTGATGATGACGATGTGGATGCCGGTGACGTCATCAGTGATGATGACGATGACGATGTGGATGCCGGTGACGTCATCAGTGATGATGACGATGATGATGTGGATGCCGGTGACGTCATCAGTGATGATGACGATGACGATGTGGATGCCGGTGACGTCATCAGTGATGATGACGATGACGATGCGGATACCGGTGACGTCATCAGTGATGATGACGATGACGATGTGGATGCCGGTGACGTCATCAGTGATGATGACGATGACGATGTGGATGCCGGTGACGTCATCAGTGATGATGACGATGACGATGTGGATGCCGGTGACGTCATCAGTGATGATGACGATGACGATGTGGATGCCGGTGACGTCATCAGTGAGGATGACGTCATCGGGGGGTCACGCGACATCGGCGGGGGTCACGTGACCTCGGGGGGTCACGTGACCTCGAGGAGGGGGTCACGTGACCTCAGGGGAGTCACGTGACTTCGGGGGGTCACGTGACCTCGGGGGGTCACGTGCCCCCCACGAGGTCACGTGACCCCGGTGGGGGGCTCGCGCGGTGCATTATGGGACATTTCCCATGATGCACCGCGCGGTTACGCCGACGCCGACGGCGACGGCGACGGCGACGGCGACGGCGACGCCGACGCCGACGGCGACGCCGCTCAAGCCGGAAACGGGCCCCTAAGAGCTGCGCTCTAAAAAGCCATACATTAGACTTGGGGGCGCTTAACTCATCGAACGATAGTTTTAGAGCTGTGAAAAAATGGTGAAAACATGAAGCTGAGAAAAAAGGGTTTGAAAGTTCGAACAGTGTTTTAGTTTAGATGGGGCTTGCCATTTCATCTAAAATGCTCCAGGGGCATATGTCACTCCTTCCTCTGCACGGTCCCTCTGTGCCTTGGCCGCAGCTTCCATCTTCCTTTTTTTGTGGGACATCTTGGAGGACTCGAGCGCTTTCACTTTGGCCTTCGCAACCTTCATCTTGGTGGCCCTCTCTCTGTATGACGCTTGGTAGCTCCCTGGCTGTATGCCCATTTCCAACAGAACTTCCTGATTCGCTAGGACGAGCCACGTCACGTGGCTCGTCCTAGCGAATCAGAGCTCTTGTTTCGCCAGCTTGACCAATAAGAGCGTGCACAGCTATGTTTTCTACGGGGTTTTACGGTCTGTGAGCACAATATCGCGAACAATGCTGCGAACAGAACGAAAGAGGGCGAGACGCTCATTTCAACGAGGGGGGCCTGTCCATGCTAGTCCTAAGAAACGCGGAGGGAGCGTGCTTTGAAAATGGCACATTTTCGTAATCGGCCACGTTGTCGGCGCGCACGTGCGGCTGCCAGCACTTCGAAAATAATTTATTTCGGAGTAAATACTTTACTTACAGGAATAAAATTTTTGGACAGCATTCTTTATGAGTTGTAAAAGCTGGTCAGCCTATTTTCCAAAAATGTGACTTCTTTGAAAAATTTGCGATTCCTAGGCCGTGCCTCCTTTTAAGTGGCAATGAGCACGTGCTGGAGGCATAGGAGGAGGATATCCGGTTTCCATGCAGCATTCACATTCATGCTCAAAATATTGTCTCTCGTTTTTCTAAAAATCTATTGGAACTCATTTCTTCTACAATAGCTAAAATTGGTGGGTCTTGGATGACTTGACGTGTTGATGTTCCTTATTATTTTTTCGGCAATAGCTAAAATTCAGGGGTCTTAGATGACTCGATGCATAGCTGTTTCTTATGGTCTTAACTCTTTATCCAGCCCTTCCTCTAAATGCGGAATTGGCTGCCTTCCAACAATCAATTAGACTCCGTTTCTAAACGTTTTTTCAACTCTGGATGGGTTTATGCATGGTTCCAGGTTCCGAAGTCGCCAAATACTGTGCCCTGAAGCTCCCCGACTTCGTCAAGTCCCTCAAGAGCTACGCGGAGGGAGAGCTGACTGAGGCGCTGTGCGAGGGCTTCCTCCAGTTCGACGCCACCCTCATCACGCCTGGCGGACTCTCGGAGCTCAAGATGCTGGCCGGCGCCAGCTCGGATGACTCGGCGGAGGCGTCACCGGACGAGGGGGAGGCGGAGCTTCTGAGCGCCGAGGCCGAGATGCCCATTGAGGACCTCCTGGCCCGCTACAGCGCCAAGGCCAAGGAGCTGGCCAAGGAGGTGGCCAAGCTGGACGGTGCTAAGCCTAACGCGAAGGAGGAGGACCCCGCTAAGCCTAATGAAGACAAGCTGGTCAACGGGGACTGTTCAGCTGCTTCGAGAGACGTCGAGGCATCGGCAGCCGAGAAAGGTGATCGCTTGCTGTTGCGTCGGGCTGCGGTCAGGTGTGTCGGAATATGTGCGTTCTACGCCATTTTTTATGACTGAAAGTAAGTGTGAGGAAGCGGCTCCTAAAGACGAAAACTGACATTTTTTACGGTTGTGTATTGGATTTTTTAATTTTGCGTCCATCTCCGCTGAAAGATAGGACTAACAAACCCGGTTTTTCGGGCGGACTGTTTTTTTTTAGAAGTGTGCTGAACCAAGATGAAGTTATAATGTGGCTGCTAAATGCCACCACTAATGTTGCACTTTGGGGAATATTCCGTTTCGTTTGGTCGAGTCTTTACTTTTTAGGAATTTTTCCACAATGTCTGTCTACTTATGTTCCTACCATGCTCTTCAGGAAGCAGCTTTGCAAATTGCCCTTCATCTGCTGAGCAACATTTTCTGGCATTTTTTTTCTTAATTTGCATCGAAGTTGTTTTTTGTTAGTGACATTTTTTTTGTTGGTGAATCTCAGAAGCACAATAGGTAATAGATCTTGGCGTTACTCAAGAAACAAAACCTGAGATGAGTCAGGTGTCGGGTGAAAACCTTAGCTTGTTTGGGCTTTCTTTTCCCGTCGATGTCGTTCTGGCCTGTTTTACAGGCCCATTTTGGCTGCCAAGAAACTGACCACTTAAAGGAACGGGTGCACAACAACCAAGAAATAAAAATGACCGCATCTCCACGTGGCGAATGATTTTGATATGGGCGAAGCCCTGGTGGTACTGATGATACTGATTTTATTCTTCATAGATAGTGCTGAGTTCCGGGTTGCGTTTAGACTTCATTATTACTGCTTTATGGTCGGTGAAATGCAAAGCCAGTGGTTCTTCTAGCGGATCAGCTTGGATCCGCTAGCAGCCCTGGGAACGCATCTCCACCACTTAAGTCAACGGTCCATGTCAGAAAGAGAATGTGTTGTATAGAACGTGGTTATATACACATTTGATCATTTGACCACAGCGCCCTCACGTCTATAAACGTTGAGCCAATGCATGCAAAGTTTAACGCGATTATATACGCATTTGACCACAGTGCCCTCTCCTGTATAGACGTTGAGCGGCTACATGAAACGTTTCATCCATGACAGAAACCCCAGCTCTTGAGTTACTACATCTCGGGGCCCCCTACTCGTCCCGCAGTCATGGCCGAGTGGTTAAGGCAATGGACTAGAAATCCATTGGGGTCTCCCCGCACAGGCCCGAATCCTGTCGACTGCGCAAACATATTTTCTTTTTATGTGAGCACAGATGGACGGACAAGGCTAGACCCTAAGGAGCTTTGCCCCTAAAAAAATTATAGCAGTTCGAAATCTGCTTTTTTTGTCACAAAGTCTACTGGTAGAGAAGTGGTCGCTCGAGGCCTTCTCACTGTTTTAACCGAGAATTGGGTTTTCTGCTCGGAGAAGTGATTCTGAAAAGAGATGTCGCATCTTGGATGGAGCCTACATCCAAGGCCCCGTGACGTCGCATGACGTGGTGAAGTCATGTGACCTGGTCTATTGTCCACGTCAGTCACCCAGTGTGGTCATGGGACCTGATAACATATAATCACATGATGGGGCCTTTGCTTTTTTTTTTTTTATCTCGCTCATGTGCAATAGCAACAAAGTGCTCAAGATGGCTGATTGGTATCTTGTCTATGTTTTTGTTGTTGGTGTAGAATGATAGCAACAGAGATGCCCACGTATTTCAAAAGTAAGATTTTGTCCATGGCACATATTCATTAGCTGAAGTACTGGAATCCGTAAAACAATTTTTCTAACTTCCCAAGGACTTGCCCTGCTGTTTCAGTAGATTTTTTTCTCAGCAAATGCACGTGTCTTAGCAGCAAGCAATTAGCCGGATGGCGTGTCAGCACAAGACTTGCCAGCTCGAAACAATAAAACCCAAAGAACTGCTAAAGCCACTAAATTTCATATGCAGGGCAAGGATAACTTTTTAAACAGTGCAGTAAATAAAAGACCCCTTAAAAGGGAGCTTCCTTGTTTTTTTTTACTTTTCTCGCTTTAGTGCACCGCTTCATCTTGCTGTTGCCAGGTGTGTCGCCGGACCTGCCAACATACACCTCAGTCGTTTCAATCTTCCGCACATCATTTGGCGGCAGTTCGTAGCTTCTACCTCCAAATTTGCACGGTTTGCAGAAAGTTTCCTTTTCCAGTGGGGGTATCCAACCCGTCCGAGGTTGCTTGGAATGTTCGCTGACCCGTCTTCAGATTTCTCGCGCATACCTTACTGGGTCCCGTTTCGTTTGGCAGACTCGGAAAAAGCATTCGCACATTCACGCACTAATCAATTCAAAGCTCGACGGCGTTGCGAGCGTTAGTGACACCGACAACAATTTTGGCGAGAGTAAGTCACCAACCGATTGTTCGGACTTTGTGGGGACCGAAAAAACATCCGAATAAAGTCGGCGGATTAAAGAACTCGCCTTTGTTAGGTCAAAGCAGGCTTAAAAAAGCCGTCGATGGTGCCCCGCTTCAGGTTACGCCTCCGCTCGCGTTTGGCCATTTTCTATTAGCTCGAGGATCGCCGCCTTGTTTTCCGGGGTACGGTCGAGCACTTTCCACGCTTCTTGCCGACACTTTGCGGCGGCGGAAGAACAGATGTGACTCTGATGTCTGAGCCGGCGTAGTTTGAGAGCACGATTCACCGAAAGGCACAAGTCCACAACTGCAGAATGGCGAATGGACGAGCAAAGTGGTAACAATGACAACGATAATGGCCCGAAGCTAGAGAAAAAGAAAACAGTAGCGTAGCGTCACCTAGCAGTAGGACTTGGCAGTACCCGAGTAGCGCCGCGAAACCGAGCCGAGCCACGCGCGGCACACATAGAATCTAAGATGACGGCTTCTCGGCAGCGTTTCCCGCCGATCGCTCGCGACGATTTTGTCCGAAAAATTAAGCTTTCAAACTTTGATCTGTCCGAAATGCGGTCGTGAATGTGCGCCATTTCTATCGGATGGGTCGCGGTTCCTCCTTTAGGTCCAAAATATCGGAGTCCGAATTATCGGCATCCGAAAAATTGGTTGTCAACTGTATGCAAAACGGATGACCCCTCGACTTGAATTTACCGTAAGCTTGAAGACTGCTCAAAATTCTGCCACTTGCAAAATGGCAATTTTTCCCTTTAGACGAGAGTGAAAACCGCTAAATTGGCAACACTGGTCAACACCGTATCCTAGTGGAGATTGGAAGATGGGTGGAAAAGATCAAGGGAGGGGTAAAGATACAAATAAAAATAAACAACACAGAAAAAACTAAATTTATACAAATTAAAAAAAAAGGTTGTTGAAATGTTAGGCTAGGTGGCGCAAGCTGCCGCCCGTTACAAAGGATATAGCCATTGCCATCCATTCATCCTATTGCTTTCTGTAGAAAATATTTTTGGGGGCAGATGTGCAAACACCTTTCGGTGACCTTTGACATTTTGTGTATCGACGACCATGCAGACAGCAGCAAGGACGCGGCAGGCCCCGCCGGGGCCGGTGGAGACGAGGGAAGGTCGACGGCCTCCGAAGCAGACGGCGGAGAAGGTTCATCGTCGGGGGGAGACACTCCGGAGGGAACACGCCGTTTGCGGCGCCCCTGGAAACCATACATGTCGCTGGTTGCAAACGCAGACGCCTCTTTAGATTCTTCCGAGAGCGAGGAGTCCTCGGAGGAGGAGGAAGAGGATGGAGAGGACGAGGAAGACGAAGAGGATGAGGAGGAGGAAGAAGAAGAGGCAGAAGAGGAGGGAGATGCAGAAAGGTGGGCACAACTAAAGCCCCTTGATGCGTTTGTCTTACAAGTAGTGCCAAATGTGCCAACGCAGGAGGCATGTTCCTCGTGCGGCCCTCACGAGCAAATGGTGTCTTGGCGCTCGCTCGTGGCACGTGTCTTGCGCTTTTGCCAATGCAGGAGGCACGTGTCTTGCGCTCTTACAGTATAATTGCCGACGCTCGTAACTTGGCGCAGCGTGCACACTGCGGTGTCTTCGACAGACTTGCAGTCATTCGTGCTTACTTCATGAGTGCCAAGGTACTATAAGCCTGCCAAAGACACCTTCGTGTGCTTGCTCCACGTGCTTGTGGCTGGTCGGTGTCGGTTGCTTTTCTTTGGCTCTGGTGGGACTCGGGCGTAGGAGTCGGGAAGCATGAATATTATCCGGGTGCTTTAGGCGCGACGGTTTGGGCGTTTTTGCCTGGGAGAGTCACCTCAATAGTGTATGGCCAGGCTCCCCTTACACCGTTCCACATGGCGTCTGCTCGTCTTGCAGCATTGCCAAGGCTAGCATAGCTTCCACACTGCTGCAGCCCTGCACTGCTGCCAGAGCGTGCGGCTTGACCTTGTGTCTGACTCACACACTCTTTCGCGCATAGGGAAGCGCCAAACAAAGCCATGTGGAAACTGTGCTAGTCTTGACAACGTTGCACAGAAAAGCTGACACTGAGCGTAGGAAGTGCTTGGCTAGATATTGTGCCCCCCCCCCCCCCCCAATCCGTCAGACACTGCAGACATCTTGCAGAGTTAATGTCTGCAGTGTCGACTCCGCAAGACGTCTCAACTTCTTAGCGTTCCTTTTACTACTGGTGAAAGGAACACTAATAAACGATCCTTGTCACAAAGTGGTTGAGTGCAAATGTAGGATGGTGTTGATATATTTGTTGCGCTAATTAGCCTTTCATTTGCTCAGCTTTTATTTCGCTGCATCTCAGATCTTCTGCATGCAACTTGAAAGTTGCATTGTATGTGTCGCCATTGTAACAATGTGTCCCTTTGCACCTTAGAAATAAACTGTCCGCTTGTCTACTTCACTATGGCAAAGGCTGTAGTGCCTTATGTTGTAAGCCTAAACACGTCCTTGTGTCTTCCGCGTGAAAGAAAGCTACGCCGCTGGAGTCACCCAGGCTTACTAGGAGAAGCACACGAATACAACAGCGACAAAACTACCATATTTTCCAGGCTATAATCCTCGGACCATACATGTCTAAATTTTACCCGGTGCGGACTATACAACGATTTGTATTTTTTTTTTTTATCGTTGGCTGTGACAAGACATGAAGGTTTTTATGAATGACAGAGTATATTAACATTGATTTACTTATGATACAAGCTTTTTTGTGAGCTAATACAGCAGGCATTTGTCAAGGTCAGCCATGCATGGTAACTTTTCTGTTCAGATTTGGCATTAAGTGCAGGTGATGCACGACTCTGACTGGCAAGTTTGCCGCATCCTAAACGGCGGTCCCTCGATCTTCTCCCGACGACACCGTAGACGTGTCGTGTCGCCAGCTGTGATGATCCTGACAGTGTGGCAGACGGGGCGAATGCCCATTCTGCCGCAGGTCACTCGCCAGCTTGACAGTCGGTCAAAGCTTCGGCAGCCACGGGTTGGGACTCCGCGATGAGGGCCACACTTTCTTTAGCTCGTACATTTTGTCAGGACTTCTGGTGCCGACCGCCGGGATTGTGACAGCACGACGCTCCGGCTTCTGCTACATCATCTGTTGCCGCTTCGCCGCTGATTTTGTTGCGTGCAAAAGTGCACTGCAGTCACTATACTACAACTGATAAAAGAAACTGCATGAGGTAGCCACTCGGTGGGTAGGCAGTTATTTCGAGTGAAGCACTGCCGGTGGTCTCCCAACGACCGACTTTAGCCTTCATGGAAGAAGCAACTTGTGTTTCCTGACTGAGTTGACTCGAAAAAGTGTCTTGGCTAGAGCCACAGCCTACCGGCTAGAGGGTAGAAGTGGCACATCCAGCTAGAGGGTAGAAGTGGCACTTCTACGAAGGGGGCTACACCGGACGTAGTATGACTGTGTAGTATGACTGTGTTGTTTGCCATGAGTATATAAGAAAGTGGTTTTTTTTCATAAACGCTAGTTGCGAGTGCGCCTTGTTCACGTCTCCTTTCTTGTATCTTGTCCTTGTGTATTTTCGGCGCCCTGAAAGTTATCATGAACCAACTAGCCCAGATTGCCATTCTAACAAATGGGCAGCTGACGCTCTGGAATGTTTGACGCAACTGTTCTTCTCTTCTCAAATCTTGTTTTCTTTTCTGCAGCGCAACGTGGGACAAGAAACTGAAGCAGCGCCTGTCCCAGTTGGATTCACTCGCAGACACAGAGACAGAGACGGTGGGTGACTAGCCTCTTGCGTGCCCGCCGGTTTTCTAACCAACGTCCCCGGTCGCCTGCTAACTTTAGGTGCAGGTGTCGGTCTGGTTTTGGTCTTATCCTGGCTCTGCATATGAAGGCCAGTTAAAATATTTTTGAGGCTTAGTATTTATATCTATTTATCCGCAGTAGTTTGCTTTTGCGGGTGTTTAGTAAATTCTTTGCTGAAAAGTACAAATATTGCGATGAGGCTTACTGCTATAGGCCCTCGGCCTGCAGTAGAGTTCTGTCGATATGTTCTTAGTTTGCCTTCCTGGCTGTTTTACGTTCACAAATGCCGACCCTATTGAACTCCGAGGATGTGTGTGTATCAATATCCCATTTGTTGAGTCTGGTCTCGTTTGCTACCTTACGCACCGCTGTCTGCTGGATATTCGCTAGCCGTCACACGTTGAATGTTGTCCACTAAACTTCACGATTTGCACGACCACCTGCCAAACCGTTGTGTAGTCGCTCGCTGAACTCCAGGTCTGCTAGTTTGCATTCCACCGTCTGCTAAACCTTTGCAACCCACTGTGTATCGGGCACCACCTACTAAGCTTCACTTTGCAAGTTACACGTCCGTCTGCCAAACCATTGTTTGTCTGGAACAGTACATTAAATTTTTGTTTGCTTACTTGCAGTGCATTCTGTTCTGAACCTTTGCTAGCTGTCATGTATCACACATCACCCACAAAACTTTTCTTTGCAAGCTACACTATCGTCTATTAAAGTATTGTGTGTCCAGTGTCTCCAAGCTCTCGTTTGTCAACTTACATGCTGCCATTTATTAAACCCAGACAAACTGTTCTGCGTCCGATATCATCCACTAAACTGCACTTTTCAAGTTGCACTATAAAAACTACCAAATAGTCACATGTCCGTCGTCAATCATTAACAAACTAGAGTTGGTAAACAACAGTTTAGTGAATGACGCCGGACGTGCGAGCGTTCAGCAGATGCTGGGAAACTTTTGTCTGCTGACTTGCACGCCTCTGCCTGCCCAGCAGGTGGGCTACGACAGCGGGTGCACCGCGGTGGTGGCGCTGGTGCGTGGGCGCACCCTGGTGGTGGCCAATGCGGGCGACTCGCGCTGCGTGGTGTGCCGCTCAGGCAAGGCGGTGGACATGTCCCTGGACCACAAGCCCGAGGACGCGACGGAGCTCAGCCGCATCTGCCGGGCGGGCGGGCGGGTCACCAGGGACGGCCGCGTCAACGGCGGGCTCAACCTGTCCAGGGCCATCGGTGAGGCGCATCCCCCGCTTTGCCTCGGTCGCAGATGGGGGCGCGGTCGATCGCGACGCGAAAGAATAATAATTAGGGATGTGCGAATATTCGAAACTTCAAATACTTCGCGAATAATACTTACTATCCGGTTCGATTCGCTTCACACTTTTGCTGTTTGAAGTATTCGAGTTCTTGCAGTACTCCACATTATGGTCAGTATGGTTTCAAGCTTGGCAAACCCAAGAGCAGTGGAAAGTTACTTGCACGCGTTAGCGCGATCTGTCCTTTGCTTGCCATGATGTCTGGATTGCGGAGCTGGCAAAGTGGTCGTGGCACAAACGCTGTGATAGGTTTGATGAAAGACTACAATTTGCAACGCCACATGCATCGTCGTGAGCACAAACGCGACGGAAAGTCTTATGGATTCGGATATGAATTTATGGCTGACCGCAACTACTAAATCGGCGAGATCTGGCTCGTGTTATTTTCCCGCTTGATTTTCCGGTTCGTCAGTTTGCCAGTATTCCTTTTGTTATTTATTTCTGCCGGTTTGCACTCATAAAAGTGAGAATTGCTCCCTCCGCCTAAAAAACAACAATGTATTCTTAATTTATTGCTTCTTTGTGGTGCCCTCTATCGGCAGAACTATTGCACACGGAAAGAGATGGCGAAAATTCAGTGCGGCTGTGCGGCGCGATCGCACTATCTCCAACTCTGCTGTGGCTTGCCGACCCGCCTCCGCTTGCGTACTTCCGTTTACATTCTGTAACTTCACTCCTTGAAGGGTGTTTTACTGACTGATCTTTTATTTCATCTGTTTTTTATCAGTCACATGCCATGTTGGGTAAAGTATACCTAAAATGTACTTGAAGTAAAGTATGAAGTAAATGAGAGGTTGTGTACCTAAAGTCAAGTAGTAAGTACATCAGGAGCAATGTACTTGAAGTAGAGTATATAAATACAATGTACTTTCAAAGTAAAGTACACATACTCTTTAACACAATCTTTCATGGTGCCCTTTCCGCCCCCTATGCAGTGCTTTTCTTTTTTTTTTTTTTTTTAACTGGTAGGTATTGTCCCAAGGGTAGTTGAAGGTGCATCAGTTATTTTCAGAAATGGCGGCGAATATTGGATAATGTCAAGTGGTCAATGTGTAATTGTTTTACACTGGCTGATGAACTATTTAACGCAATCAACGTATAAGGCAAACTCAGAAAATGTACTCCAACTATGTGTTTTCTAAACCTACTTGAAGTAGCACTTAAGTATGATCTACTTAAAGTACTTCCCAACACCACTCACATGTGTGACATCTTTCTTATTGCAGTACAATTGACCTTTTCATAACTGTTTGTGAAAAAAAAAAATCTAGTTGTATTTTGATTGAGCATTCTTGTTTAATTCGCATCAAATGGAAAATATTTGTTTTTAAAAATGTTCTTATTTGAAACTACTATTCATATTCGAAAATATTCGATCTGATTCATAACTTTTATTATTCGATTCGAAAAATTTTGATATTCGCACACTTCTATTAACAATAATAATAATAATAATAAGTTTTTATTGCAAACATATGTACATTGTACATTATCCGGCCAGTGAAAGCATGCGAGTAGTCGTATGCAGGGCCGTCCAACAGACAGCATTTACAAAATTTCAAAGCGGGATTGCTAGCACGCAACTACTAAAACAAACGAGGAATGAAAATAAAATTTAAAAAATGTCTGAAACCATTGGACAACGTACTGGAGCTATACGGCGAGATATTGAAGGGAGAGGAGACAAGGGCGGCGTGGGGGACATATTAGCACCGAGCTCTGGTTGGAATCATGAGTGGGTAGATGCAAAGCCAGCTAAAGACAAAGACAAAGCCTTTGTCTTTAGTCGCTCTTTGAACATTGGAATCCTGCATTCAGCGTTTGAGACTGTAGACGCCGCCAATTGTGGTAGACCACGGCGAAATGTCTTCTCTCGAAACGACAGAAACATTGCGGCCTCCGCGCAGGACTTGCGTTGCAAGAGAGTGACCTCGACGTCCGCAAAAACATTAAGAGCCAAGCCGATTTGTCTTGGAACCTTGATGACGGCGAGCTGCAATGCACTGTACTTACCCTCTCAGGGTTGGGCGGTAGTCGTCGGCTGGCGAAAAGTCTAAGCTTGAGCCAACTGCTTGAACCAGAGCGACTCGCTACGTCGCCCGCTGGATTGCTGTATTGACGTTAGCAATTTGGCGCCAAAAGAACTCGCCGAAGAAAACGAAAAACACAAAAAGAAAAGAAAGAAAATGCAATGCTTGTTGAGTTTAAAGGGGCAATGCAACAATTTTTGTACTTGACGCAAATACCCCTAAAAACGGATCCCTGACGTTAATGACCTATGAAACACGCGTTCGTTTTTCACCCCACGCAATAGAAGTCATAAAAAAAAATTATAGAAAAACGAGCAGCGTTCACCCCCTCAACTCGCAGCCAGAACAAGCGGCCACGTGATCTGAAGCCGATTATATGCCGCCAATGTTGATCATAGCCACGCGCTGGGGTTGGCAAAGCGCAGGACACGCGCTGAGTTCCAGACATTGTTATGGCTCGGCTGTTGTCGTCGTTGCAGCGATTGGACACGGGTCACAACCCGAATGCTTCTCGAGCTAGCTATTGTCACGAGCTCAAGTCGAGTGCCCACGCAATGCTCGGGTCCAATCTATGAACCGCATTCAAATATCGTCACTTGGGTGTTCTGCGATCCCCACGTTACGTCATCAAATTTTGCAAAGGAGAGATTGGACGAAAATAACTGCTTTTGTCCTTGAAATTTCACCGCAATAAAGGAGTTTCTTGGCCAGTGGCGTTGCGTGCGAGTATCCTTGGGTCCCACTAGTGCCAGTAAGCTCGTGTATAGTGAAAAACATTCCAACTGAATATCGTTGCACAGGTCCTTTAAAAGGGGCACTGACACCATAAAGGTCTATTTTTTTTGTCGTCTGAAATGATGCAAGTTATAGTCATGGACGCACAAAAAAATACCAAACGCAAAAAAAAAAAAAAAAAAAATTTCCATGCGCGCATGCTTTTATTTAGGGGTGAAGCTCCTTAGGGTCTAGCCTTGTCCGTCCGTCCGTCAAGCGTCCGTGCTCACATCAATTGCCATCCCATCTGTCTTCTTAAAAAAAGAAATTGACCGCATCTCCACGTGGTGAATGATCTTGATTGGGGCAAAGCTCTGGTGGTGCTTGTCTGCGTAGACGCTGAGCCGCAGCATGCCGAGCCTTTTGTTCGTTTTCATCCATGTCAGAAAGAGAATGTCTGGTATGGAACGTGGTTATATACGCATTAGAGCATTTAACCGCAGCGCCCTCTCGTCTATAAACGTTGGGCCAATGCATGCAAACTTTAACGCGATTATATACGCATTTGACCACAGCGCCCTCTCCTGTATAGATGTTGAGCGGCTACATGCAACTTTTCAATCATGACAAAAACTCCAGCTCTTGAGTTACTACCACCTCTCAGAGCCCCCTACTCGTCCTGCAGTCGTGGCCGAGTGGTTAAGGCGATGGACTAGAAATCCATTGGTGTCTTACCGCACAGGTTAGAATCCTGTCGGCTGTGCAAACATTTTTTTTTTCCATCATTTTTTTTTTTTTTTTTTTTGCCCTGCACGAGCATGAGCAAGGTCGATGTGAGCACGGACGCCGGACGGACAAGGCTAGACCCTGAGGAACTTCGCCCCTAAAATGTTTGCGCAGTCCACAGGATTCGAACCTGTGCGGAGAGACCCCAATGGATTTCTAGTCCATCGCCTTAACCACTCGGCCACCACTGCGGGACGAGTAGGGGGCTCTGAGATGTGGTGGCAACTCAAGAGCTGGGGATATCATGGATGAAACGTTGCATGTAGCCGCTCAACGTCTATACAGGAGAGGGCGGTGCGGTCAGATGTGTATATAATCGCGTTAAACCTTGCATGCATTGGCCCAACGTTTATAGACGAGAGGGCGCTGCGGTTAAATGCTCAAACGCATATATAACCACGTTCCATACCAGACATTCTCTTTCTGACATGGACCGTTGACATGGACTGTTGGCCCTGCAACAACTTTTTGACTGGTTTTTAATTTTCACCGAACCTGAGTGCACTGAATCTAGTAACTTAAAAAAAACTTTCCTTTTCTTAAATGTCGCTTTATTTTAAAAGTGATAGACAAATTAAAGTAACAAAAACAAGCGAAAGATAAGCTCCTTCATGACGTCCTTGGTCCTGGCTTGAGTTGTTGTGAACTAGAGGAGGAGTAATGAGCTCATCGAGCGCTCACGGCTGTCGCACTCCGTGTCGACGGCTCGAGAGGGCGCCACTAAAGCACGTGTTGGATAGGCTGTATGAAGCGGGTGGCCCGGAGGCTCGCATTGCATTTGCTGCGCGATTAAAGACTAATTCGGCATAACACTTCATCGGCCTCAAACGACAGCAAACACGGGGTAAAGATCAGCTCAGAACGGGAGCCACTTCGCGCTGCCATACCGCCAAATGGCCAAATCGCCAGCCAAGCCCTCGCCGAAAAGCTTCGGGACCGGTCGGATCCTCGAGCCGATATACGACTGCAGCGCCGCCGCATACATCCGGGACCTTTCTACACTCGCTGTTCGTCCGAGCCTCATCCCACTATCCCTTTCTAGTATGCGCCGTTTTCTCCGACGCTTCGTGGCGGGTTTGTCGACGGGGCTTTTCTTGTTTCCGTACTTTATAAACTGCATTCGTTTCTTTTCTGATCTAAAATACTGAACAAAAACTACTTTCATACAAAGTTGAGACGGTTCGCGACACTTATATCTTGTATCTCGACTAAAAAAAAAAGCTTTTAGCGGCTTTGACCAGTGGTAAGCCCAGGACCAAAGACGTCACATATTGCGTGCTTTCGGCAACGCGGGTCGCCCTCGTAGGTGGAGGAGGTTTCCGCGTCGTCCGGTTAAAATATGGCGCACTGATATTTAGTTACTCTCTCCGTGCTCGTTGGCTTGTCCGAACCCCAAGAGACGTGGAAAACGCAAAAAAGTACACGCTTAAATAGGATCGCGGGCCCCTTTAAACGGTGGAAATGCGTTCCCACGGCTTCTAGCGGATCCAAGCTGATCCGCTAGAAGAACCACTGGCTCTGCATTTCACCAACCATAAAGCAGTAATATTGAAGTCGAAACACAACCCGGAACACAGCACTACCTACGAGCAATAAAAAAAAATCGGTACCATCAGCACTAAATTTGAACAATAAAATCAGTATCATCAGCACCACCAGAGCTTCGCCCCTATCAGCATCGTTCACCATGTGGAGATGCGGTCATTTTTTTTCTTTTCTGGGGAGTGTTTTTTTTTTTTTAAATTGACCTGAGCACATGTGAAAGAAGTTTGAAACAAACATCGTCAAATCAGTTTCTGAAATTGCCTTTCTGGAAGGTCAAGTAAAATGCACGAGCATGCCGAAAGAACTCGTGGAAAATACCAACAAATGCGAAATCCCGAATTTAGAACTCAAAATGCAGGAAGTCCGAAAGGGCAGCTCGTGGCCTAGGAAATCCTCACGCAGCTCTCACTCACCTGACCATTCAAGATGGCGACTGGCCTCCTCGGCCAGAAAACAAGATGGCAACACGAACGCTGCTTACAATGAGACTTGCTCTGCGAATCTCGCTCTGCAAAGAGAGCCCAGAACGTAAAAAGGAAAACCTATCCGCGGTTGATAGGCTTGAACGGCAATGCTGTCCCGCAAGCCGAAGTTTCATCACGGGAGAAAGGAGCGTCCAAGCATCAAAGTTGGACGCACTCGGCTAACCACTAAAGGCGTGACGAAATTCACCGGAGCTCGCAATCCAATCTTGTATTGTGTCTCGTGATGCAAAAGCTCGATGATCTTTTTTTCTTTTTTTTTTTTCTAGACGGTAGTTCAAATGGCTACAAATTTGTCACCAATGTGCGCGTGCGTGCCCTTCCGCTGTTGCAGGGGACCACGCCTACAAGCGCAACACGGAGCTGGAGCTCCGGGACCAGATGATCACGGCCCTGCCGGACATCAAGACCTTGGAGCTGGACCCCGAGACCGACGAGTTCATGATCCTGGCCTGCGACGGCATCTGGTACGTGCTGAATGCCTCGTGCGTCTGCACCGGGGGCAGAGAACATAATGCCAGGGAAACTCACGGATTACATTCAGGGTGTCTAGCGACCGGGAAAACCGGGAATTGTCAGGGAAATTTTAATTACCGGGAAAAAGCAGGGAATTGTCAGGGATATCTTCTAAAAGCGAGCCCAGTCAGGGAAAATGAACTGGAGGCGACATCGAGTGGCCCTCAGCAAAGACTTGAGGACTTGGGGGCAGAAAAATAGGCAATAAATTCTGCCTATAGCGGAGCGCGGGCTCTGCTCACACAATGTAGCGTGTGCTACCCGATGCAAAGGGAACAGCCGATAAATCCAGTCGAAGCTTTGGATTGGATTGAGGGCGCGACACTAGGAAAGATCCAGTTAGAGCTACTAGATTTAGTAACAAATGGAAAAGAGGCAATACCCTAACCTAATAAAAGCCTTAAGCCGAAAGTATCAGGTGTGCATCTGGCGGCCATGTTGCCATTCAGTTATTGATGTGTGGTTGAGCGTCGTGTTTTCATCATGTTTCCGGAAGTGACCTCTTCACTGACGCCGTCGGCGGCAAGAAAGTGCTCGTTTAATCCGGACTGGACGAACCCGAATATTTCGGAATACGCAAGTTAGATTAAGCCCGTGAAAAATTCTTCTCACAGTGCTTAATGCCTTGTGTTGTAATGGTCTTATATATTTAACTGCCTCTACAGTGGTCAGGGAATATCACCTGATATTGTCAGAGAAAACCTGCAAAAGTCGGGGAATTTCAATATGATAATTTGCTAGACACCCTGACATTGGGGGCTCGGCGTTTTCTTGTCGGTTACCATCTTTTCCAGACCACAGAAGAAACTTTCTGTTAGAAAAAAGTTTAAAGCGATGCCTTTCTATGGAAACTTTCCACGGACCTTTCTTGTCAGTGTCAGTCTGACTGTGACTTCACGCTGTTACGTGGCATTGGGGCGTCCCACGACGTTACGTCCCTAAGTGAAAATTGGTCGGCTGGATTTGGAACTTTGTCCAGCTAAGACCTTTGATAATCCAGCTGGAGGTCAAATGGGTTGTCAGTGTCGTTATGGCTCGACATGACCGTGTTGAGTCATAACAAATGGGTTGTCACAGTGACGACGTCGCAATTTCCCCATTTACTAAAGAATATCCCGGATAAATTCCGACGGTGATTGCTGCTCATTAGAAACCCCATCAAATGCTATCGTACCTCCGACACATCCGACGTAATGTCTGAACCTGGCGATTTTTCTTTAAAAGGGTACGGGTACAAAATTTTAGCGCTCATTTCTTCGGCTACATATGGACCTTCGAGTACAAAGACCTAGTAGCACCCATCGTTTGTCGAAAAACTTGATAAAATATTATTTAAAACAAATTAAGGGAGGAGGTGGGGAATAAATATGAACTTTCTTAATTCTAGAGATATCTGAACGAAATTTACAGGGTGTATTTATAGCACAGACATAAGAGTAACTGCAAAGTTTCATGGAGCTGTGCATATTATCTCTCTATTCCCAAATTTCACCTCGTGGATGCCTTGGAAAGTTTGTTAAAGGGTTCCGATTTTTAACAGGGGTGGAACGACTGCGCCATTTGCGCCATTTTGCGGAAACTACGCTACAGCCAATACCTCGCGCCATTATAAACCATATCGCACAAGGTGCGCAAAAAAATTTTTATTTTTTCTTGGTTTCGTTTTTTATCGACTTGAATGGCAAGAATGAGCGTGTTCAGCTTGGTCAGCCTTGCACTCCTTTGCTTTGTACATCCTCCCTGTGTATCCCGAGTCGGAAGCGCGCGAAAAAACTCGGGGGTACTTTAACTTTGCTCCTGCTTATCGCTTCGAATACGATAACTCTGCTAATCGTAGTCTGCTGCTTCGATATGGAGTTGCACAATAGGATAAACTCGAAATCTGTTGCCCTGTTCTTTCCCGCAACTGCACGTTCGTTACTTACGCGTGTCACATGGTTCGCACATATAATTATGTCGAGCACGAGTGGGCTGTGCGATAAGCAGTGCTGGTTTGCATTTTGAGCAGCTGAAAGCCACTCAGAAAATATCAAAGACGCTATCTTCAGAAACATATGGTACTTTGTTTTCATTCTCATTAAGGCTCACAAAGTTTCAAGTTGTCTCATCTGTTACACTGTCATCCCATCTACCTTGGCCCCTAACCACTCATGTTCATCTGTGCTGCTAAGCGCAATTGAAATTACTGCCGTGCTTGTCTAAGACGCAAGCTGAAGTGCAATGAAAACTGATCTGAGCTGCTCCTAGCCTGCTCCAGAATGTAGTTTTAGCTGCTCCCAACCTGCTCCAAAACAGCTATTTCAGCTGCTCCTGTAGCTGCTTCCAAGTATATTTCATGATTTCCACCCCTGTTTAATGGTCTCGTAAGAAAAGTGCCGTGCCACGAGTGCACGGCGTACTAGTTTGTGCGAATCGGGCTTGTACACAACCACGAGAGGTTGCCACCGTCGAGTAGGCCACGTTGCGCCGCACCGGCGGCCGGCAAGCTTTGTTGAGCCGTCGTTCCCGCGTTGTCAAAGTCCCCTTGAATGGTTTGTTTGCTTCCCTGGACAGACGGAATGTTCACAAACATTTTGCACGTTTACGGTAACATGCGGCGCTATTGTGCGTCCCAAAGCTTTGGCGGCACAGTTTGCAAACAAGAAGGAACCGCCAAAAATTGTCCGTCTTGGTCGGCCATCGCATTCCTCACGCTTGCAGCAGTCTTTTATGTGGCTAAGACGTTTACTACGAATGGAGTGCAAGGGCGTTGAAGTAGTACGTGGATGGCAGACCCACCCGCGGTTTGATCAAGTAACCAAAACACTTGACTGCGAGCGAGTCGGTGTAGCGGACCGGGGTTGTCGTCCTAGTAATCATTTTAGTGTCGACGCGGTATTTTACGCACACAACTGCGTGTAGCCCGCAACGCAAGCACTCCTCAAACGCGGCCGTGGCGGTAGAACAGTGGGATCGACGAGGTGGTGCAGTCGTGCGGCCGTTCGGTCCTCGGGTACGTGACATTTATTTATTTATTTATTTATTTAAATACCTTAAGAACCCTGAGTCAGGGTATTACATAAGGGAGTGGGTTGAAAATAGCGAGGTTAACATTTGACGGAACGAACCAATCTCTTGAGCAGAGACGATGGCTTCGGGCAGGCCATTTTAGTCCACAGATGTCGCCGGGAAAAAAGATTTGAGGAATGCTGTATTTCGAGTGAAAAAAAGGTCAACTTTTGCATGGTGGTCAATGCGAGGAGATATGCGATGAGGTGGCAAGATGAATGAATTGCGTAGATGATAGTCGAAGTAAAACCTGTAGAAAAGACATAATTTAGCGATGCGCCCGCGTGAACACAAAGGGGTTAATGATAAATTTTGTTTAAGGTCAGTAACACTAACAAACCTAGAGTATTGAGACGTTATAAAGTGAGCGGCACGAGTTTGAACTGATTCTAAGTCGAATACAAGGTATTTAAGATGAGGGTCCCACACTGATGATGCATATCCTAGTTTCGGACGTACCAATGTGACCTATGCAAGTCGCTTCACAGATGAGGACGCGAGACGAAGATTACGGCACAAGAGACCAAGAGTGCGGTTTGAGTTGGAAATGATAGAATTAATATGGGTTTTCTAAGAAAGGTCGTGAGTGAAATGAACACCGAGATACTTGTAAGTCGACACGAAATCAATATTAAGATTACCAACAGAGTAGGAAGAGTGAAAATGTTGACGAGTTCGATAGAAAGAGAGGCATTTGGATTTTGATGTATTTAGTAGCATCTGCCACTTTGAACACCAATCATTCATTCGGTCTAGATCAGCCTGTAGGTTATGCAAGTCATCTGTGTTAGATATGGCTTTGTAGACTACGCAATCATCAGCAAACAGACGAGCGTTAGAAGACAATGAAACGGGGAGGTCATTAATATACACGACAAAAAGTAGGAGTCCAAGAACAGATCCTTGCGGTATACCGGAGGTTACGGGAGCACTTCGGGAACGACAGTTGTTAATTTGCACATGCTGGCTTCGAGAGGTGAGAAAGCCTTCGATCCAGGCTAGAATGGAAGAGTCAAGAGACAGTGTGGACAGCTTTGCTAGTAGAAGTTTATGGGAAACACAATCAAAAGCTTTAGAAAAATCGAGAAAGATGGCATCAACTTGGTGACACTTTTCTAGAGAAGAATGAATATCGTGACAGAAAGCGGCCAGCTGCATTTCGCATGAACAATGTTTCCTGAAGCCATGTTGATTGGGGACAAAGAATTTATTCTGTTCCAGAGACTGCACAACTTGTGAATGAATGACATCTTCCATGAGCTTACAGCATACAGAAGTTAATGATTGGGCCGGTAATTTAGAGGGGAGTGCTCATCGCCACATTTGTGAGCCGGAACAACCTTGCCTTCTTTCCAGTCGTCGGGAACATCACCGGTATCTAACAATTGTTGAAATAAAGATGTTAGAAAAACAGTTGACAGCGGTTTAGTCATTTTCAATATTTTGCTGTTTATGTCGTCAGCTCCTGATGACGATGATGTTTTGAGCGCGTCTATTAATTTGCTAATGCCGTTTTCTGAAAAAGTAATTGGATGCATAGGTGGCATGGACAGGGATGAAATATCTGACGGCGATGTGATGATCGTATTAATAAACACGGCAGAAAATGCGGCGCAAAACGTTTCAACAGCGTCATCATCGGTAAGGGAAATTCCATTGTCATTTACTAAAGAGACTGGTTTACAATAATGGGGATTAATTATACTCCAAAATTTCTGAGGGTTACTTTTGAGGGTAGCGGCAAGATCGTGCTGGTAGAATTGTGTTTTGGCTTTCTCGACGGCTGACTTGTACAGTGCGAAAGCAACAGAAAAGCAGGACCAGGCCAGATCGGTGTTAAGAAGTCGTGCACGTCGGTACAATCGTTTCTTCCGGTTGCAGAGCGACTTAAGCTCTCGAGTGT